TTGAGGTAGTTGTGTGTCAGTGTTCCAAATACCATGTGATGGATTGTGGGTGTGGGGACAAGATCATGAACTTTTAACTGGGTGGGATTCTGATGTAACTTCCAGAGCTATGTGCCAACATGCATGCTTTATTAAATTGGAACTTTAAGCATAGTTTTGCCTTCGATTCTGATTTGATTCTACATGGTATTTGGAACACTGACACAGGCCTTTCTCTACTCTTCAAAGCATTTCAGCCTTTACGAGGCTTTTCCCTCCCTCGGTTTGGCTGCCTCAGCAGCTAACAGCCTTCATAGCCAGCCTACAAGGTTCGCCTCAGGCTCCCTTATTGCCGCTCGCCACTGCTGTGCTGCCTGAAAGAGCCCAAGCCTCTGAAAAGAGTTTTGCTGCAGCCAGATGCCTCAGGGATGATCGCTGCGGCTGCGCATGCCGGAGGAGCCTCCTTTAATCGCGGAGGCCACAGGAATTGCCTTCCAAGCCTCCACAGCCTCCTCCTTAGGCTCCTGAATCCTCTCCTCACGCCGGAGCACTTGACGGGCAGTAAAACTGCCGGGCAATAAGCTGCCTTGTCGGCTCACCACCTCAGCCCTTCCTCAGGGCCCAGTCTACTAACAGAAGGCAGTTAATTTGGGCGCGAAAACAGTGGTGGCCATTTTGTTTGGGCGGGAAGCCTTCTACGACGCTTTGCAAGATCTCTGCTGGTTAGAAGAGTAATCGTGAGTAATGGCAACCAACGGAACCATTCCCGAGTGGGGGGGAATTCACCCAGTCCAGTTGCCCCTTCTACTCCAGTCCCCTCTGAGCCTAGGAGCAAAAAGAGAGGCCATTCCAAGCCTTCTGCTGCCAAGCCTGCCAAGGCCTCTAGGCCTGCTCCTCCTCAGGAGGCCCAGGAAACTACCACTCTTAGTGCAGCTACTGACAAGGCCCCTGCTCCTGCTCCACAAAAGGCCACTTTCAAGAACAATCATTGCTCTACTCCTGTCCCCGCTCCTAGGGTTTCTCCTCCAACTAATTTAAACCCTATGGAGAACCTCTCCACTGATACTGATGGGGATATATGACCAGCGACTGGCCTCCGGGCCTTCTCTATGCCTTTCCTCCTACCCCACTCATTCAGAGGGTGGTGCGAAAACTACTGGTGGAAAGGGCAGAACTAATCCTGATTGCTCCTCGGTGGCCCCGCAGACCCTGGTTTGCCGACCTCATGAACCTCTCAGTAGCTCCTCCGTGGCAACTGCCCCAGTTCCCTTCGCTGCTCCTCCAAGGGGCGTTCCAACATCCAGACCTTCCGTGGTTGCGTCTCACCGCTTGGAGGTTGAGCGGGAAGCTCTAAGAACTGCAAACCTGTCTGCGGAGGTCATTCGAACAGTTCAAGCCTCCAGACGTCCTTCTACTAATCGCATTTATGATGCCACTTGGACCCAATTCTCTGTCTTGTGTCACTCAAAGGGTGTTTTTCCTCTTGAGGTTTCTGTTCCTCATATTCTCCAATTTGTGCAGCGAGGGCTGGACCTAGGCTTTCTCCGAACACACTTCGCTGACAGGTTGCGGCCCTGTCCTCAGTCCTTTCTCTGGCTTCTGCTCAGTCTCTCTCTCTCATGAACCTCTGATTCGTTGTTTCTTGAGAGGTGCCACGAACATCAAGCCACCAACAATACACAGATTCCCTACCTGGGATGTCTCCAAAGTCCTGGAATCCTTAACTGAGTCTCCATTTGAGCCTTTGCACTCTATGTCCTTGCATGTTTTGACATTAAAAGTGGTTTTACTTGTAGCCATTACTTCAGCGAGGCAAGTTTCCGAGTTGGCGGCCTTGTCCATCAGACAAGATTTATGCATCCTTCATCCAGATAAGGTAGTCCTTCGATTTGACCCGGCCTTTGTACCTAAGGTAAATTCTGTATTTCATAGAACCCAGGAATTGGTGCTTCCCGACTTCTGTCCTCAGCCATCACACAGACTGGAACGCAAGTGGCATTACCTTGATGTACGTCGTGCTTTATGCATTTATATTAAACAAACTGCTTCTTTCAGGCGCTCTGAGGCTCTTCGTCAAGTTCCAGCCTGGAGGTAAGAGAGGTTCCAAGGCCTCCTCCCTGGACATTGGTCTTTGGGTGCGGACAGCTATTTTTAGGGCGTATTCCGTACTCTCTCTGCCTGTGCCACCTCATATCACGGCGCACTCTACACGCAGCGCAGCCACCTCTGCAGCCTGGTTGTCGCAAGCTTCGTTGGACAAAATTTGCCGAACGGCTACATGGACCTCAATTTCTCCATTCATCCGACACTACAAGCTCGATAGGCACGCCTCAGTTGATGCTTCCTTCAGACGGCGCGTTCTGCATCATGTCATTGCCACTTACGTTTCCTTTCTTATTCTTTTCCTCCCAATGGGACTGTGGGCTTTGGTATGTCCCATGCCTGGATGATGTCTCCACCTACTGGAGAATGGGCGTTGGTACCTACCTGATACGCCCTTTCTCAGGGCGGTGGAGACATCATCCAGCCCCACCCTGTTTCTTTGACTTATTGCCTTTTCCTTTCTACTATGTTTTCTTGGGGAGAGATAATTTCTATCATTTCAGATTGCTTACACAGTGGTCTACAAGTCACTCCTTCATCTATTTCTGGGGAGGGGCTTCGTGGGTGTGGCTTTAATACTTGTAAACCCAGTATTATTGGATCCTGATGGAGTCATACCCCATGCCTGGATGATGTCTCCACCGCCCTGAGAAAGGGCGTATCAGGTAGGTACCAACGCCCATTTACCACAACATCTAAACTAGATTGCAATCATTTTGCTTCTGTAATAGGGAGAATTATCAATAGTGACCAAAGCATTTGGTAATTCACATTTCACAAGACTATTGCAAACTTGTCCTATTTAATACTATGATTTTGTAATTGTAAATTCAATTACCTTTCTAAAATGCATTGAACAAACATGTACACCAAGTATATTAGGATGGGTATGTTTCTCTCTTTAAACACATTTGTCTTGTCGAATCCTTTATAAATATGGATTTGGTCCATATTTTGGTTGAAACTTGGGGTGATCTCCTGTGCAATGGCTTAATGATGCTGAAACTGTTGTGCAGAAATAATCTGCACTCCAGAAATTTGAGCTCAGCTCCATGAGACAGAGTGCGCTCCCATCACTCGATCCCTAGCTCCTACCACCCAGCAATTCGAAAGCATGTAATATTGCTAATAGATAAATGGGTACCACTTTGTTGGGGGGGAAAACTAGTTGCATTTGTGTGTGTGGAGAGCAGAAACCTGGGCTGGTCCTGGTCACACACAAAGCATCATGACACGAGGCAAGGGGAGGGGAGAGTGATGGAGAAGCCTGAAAGAGCCAGCAACCTAAGCACCACTAGTTAATTGGTGTAAAGCTACTTCATCCCTCACAGTGCACCAAGATAGACGTGCAAAGCGCCAAACAGAATAAATTAGCAATCTAGATTGTCAGGACTACATTGTGTCTAGCACAGAGGTCAGCAACCCGCAGCTCTGGAGCCACATGTGGCTCTTTCACCCCTCTGCTGCGGATCCCTGTTGCCTGTTGGTGCCACAATTTTGAGAGGCGCTTCTGGTTGGAGGGGGGGGGGGAGAAGCACAGTGCGCCAGGAGAAGATTCTATGGCAAGGGGTGGGTTTTCCAGTCTGCTGCACAATTGATAGGGCTTTCAGTTACGACAGGTAGAGGAAAAAGGATGCCGCACTAGGAGGAGATTCTATGGTGGGGGAACCGAACTTCCGGTCAGCTCCAGAATTAAATGGGCGACTTCCGGTTAGGAACTTTGTGGCTCCTGATGTTTTCTTTTCTGTGGGAAACAGGTCCAAATGGCTCTTTGAGTGTTTAAAGTTGCCGACCCCTGGTCTAGCATGTGTAGATTTCCCTGTCATTGTATGCCATATGGTAATAAATAAATGCTACCCACTAGCAGGAAGTTCAGCAGTTACTCCTTTGACGCTCTGCATCTTCTTGGGGGGACTGTTACTTTGCAATTGGCTGCCACAGATTTATCAATGAATATAAGATATGTGCATGAGTGCTTTTTATTCATTTATTTGAAATATATTTATAAAACTGTGTATTATTTAAAACTAGGGAGAGAATTAGGGGAAAAGAAAATAGAGGCAAATCTTACATCAGTTAGTAGTACGTAGCAGTTTTCTAAAAGCTGGATCCAGAAATCTAGTATCTGTAGACCCAGGATAATTTCTCTTTGTCTTTTAATGTAAGAAATATCTCTTGGCTTCAGCATCTTTATTAGAGATGTCATATTGGCACATCTGGGAAAACCCGAATCTGAAAGCTTCCAGGTTTTCCCCACCCAAATGAAAGTCCAACCCCCTACCCAGCACCCATATATCCATCATCATGATCCAATCAGGCACTGTCCCAACTGGAGATGCCTCCCTGTCACGCCACTCCAGGTGCAGGGAAAGATGTCCTTGACTCTCTAAGAAAGGAATGTTATTTTGACTATATCTACCCCACTCCATATAATCACCCCTCCCAACATTAACTGTGGCAGGCCTGAAGGCCCAATGCAAAAGCTGGCTTCCAGGCCTCACAGCCTCCCCCCCCCCCCCCCCCCCCCCCCGCCATCAGAAGATCATGTCCTGCAATGAGAATAACACAGCGGATTAACATCAAAGTCCTAACCACCTCCCCCTGCCCCCCGGGCAACCCTTTGGCTTGTCAGGATATTTTTCATGGAATCACTTTAGCTAAAATTGTGTGTATAGAAATGATTGTAGAGAAACCTTCCAGTCCATTTGTGAATATCTGCAGTTGTGACAAAATGATAGTCCTACAATTCCCTTTTCAATTGTTTGAAACTTGGAGGGTTAGATTTGAAGGACGGTTTTATTGCGGTTAAATGATCCAATTCAACGCACTATTTTTATTGTTCCTTAAATGCATTAATGACTTGGGATGTCTTCTCCAGCATCACAAACAGACTCAGGTGGATATTTATGAGAAGTTACCAGTTCCGTTTGGCTTGGTTCGTTTTGGAGTGGCTCCTGATCACCCAGAAGTCAAGGTTGGTATTAACTTTCTTTTCGGTATTAGCAGTCACAAAAGGGATCTACTAAGATGGAGGCAGGGGAGGAGACCCTAAAATTATTCCTTTCTCCTTCTTGCCACCTTATTTTCATTCCATTTTTCTTTTGCCTTTTGACCTGCACACAACCCTTAGAAAATATGAGATATTTTGTGAGCGATAACCGCATACTATTTAAGCAAGATTTGGAAATATGGACTAGGGCTATGCAAACTTGATTGCAGAAAATACGACTTCAGCAACAGAGTGGTCAGTGCCTGGAATGCACTACCTGACTCTGTTGTTACATCTTCAAATCCCCACAACTTTAATCTTAGACTGTCTACTGTTGACCTCACCCCATTCCTAAGAGGTCTCTAAGGGACGTGCATAAGCGCACCAGCGTGCCTACTATCCCTGTCCTACTGTCCCCATTTATTTGTACCCATTTCCTGTGTTCATATCCATGTTTATAGTTATAGCTGTTATTTCATACATGTTTGACAAACTAAATAAAATAAAGCATTCAGAATAATGCCCAATACTATGAAAGATACACCTCTCTGAATTGTGAAAGTAGCCGGGGTTTTGCACACTTTGTGCAGCTGCTTCCAAAGCTGTCCTCTTTTCTCTCAGTACAATATAGTATATGCTTGTGTGCCTACAGCCACTTTGCTTCATTGGTGGCCTCCAATAAGAAAGGTAACATATATTTAATTTTGCATATTCTAACAGCAGCCAGGATTGTATACACACAATACTGGAAAAATGTAGAAACCCCTACGGATGATAATATAATCAAAAAAATTCTGGAATGCGCAGAAATGGATAAGTTAATTCTGAGAATCAAAAAATATTTTGAGATATGGGAACTTTTCTACAAATGGTTAGCTGACAGATACAGAGGTTAGAGGAGTGGATTTACATGAAATATGGACTACATGAGAAAGAAAAAATGTTTAGTAAATATTTTGATGGTTGTATAATTGATATCATAATGGAAGATAGTATACTTTTCAATAATGATTGATATTATTGCATGTATGTTTATGATGTTTATTTAACACTTTGGACACCTAGAAAACACACTGTTCCATATAGAAATGGAAATGGAGTTTGTGCTTTAAAATAATAAAAATATCAATTAAAAAACCAGAAGCTTACACAGACCACAGGAGACAGTTTTGAAAGATGCCAAAGGACTCTTCCAAAAGACACGGCTGCTTTAACAGTCTGAAAAGCGGAACTTTATTTGCCTTAACACTTTTCGCAAAGCACCTCTTTTGAACACTTAGCTCAGCCCTAATATTTCGTGGCATTCTGTGGGTGTGGTTTTTTTTTTTATGCCTCATGACTGTGCTTTTGTCAGAGGGAATGGACCAGTAATAAAGATCACTTGAGTTTGGACAGGTAAACCTGATGATAATATGCTGTGTTTTCCCGTAAGCTAGTTATGACTTTGTCTGCAACTAGAATTTCCACCACTGGGAATAGGCCACATTACCTTCTTCCTGTGCCTGTATCTGGAAGAAAAATGTGCTATTTTAATGGAGCTGACTGGCCTGGTGCCATCCTGCATCGCAAAGTGAGCTGCTGCTTGAGATGCTGCAAAGCCATCAGGCTTGGCCTCGTTCTTTCACTGTAGCCTCCTGCCTGGGCGCTTAGCCGCTGTGGGCAAGGAGATGGCTTTCAGATGGAACCTCTCTTGACCTCTCTCCCCAGAACGTGATCAACACATTTACCCAGACAGCCCACTCCGACCGCTGCTCCTTTGCTGGAAATGTGACTGTGGGGAGGGATGTAACTGTGGAGGAGCTGCAGAAGGCCTATCATGCGGTAGTCTTGGTAAGTATTCTTGTCGGCGGTTTTAATAGGCTCAAGAGAAGGAATAGCATTTGTGAGGACATGAAGGTATGCCAGGAGTGGTACATCAGAGCTTACGTTGTTTTTCATTATAGAGTAGTCCTTGACTTACAACCATTCGGTTAATGACTGTTCAAAGTTACGATGACACTAAAAAAGTGACTTACGACCGTTTTTCACACTTATGAACCCTTGCAGCATCCCCTGAGTCACAAAATTCGGAGGCTTAGCAACTGGCATGTACTTATGTCGGTTGCAATGTTCCAGAGACATATCATCACTTTTTGTGGCCTTCTGTCATTGAGGAAGCCAGATTCAATTAGCAGCCACCTTACTAACTTAACTGCAGGGATTCACTTTAACAACTGTGGCAAAAAGGTGATAAAATGGGGTATAAATGCGCCCACTTTTAAATTAATTAGTTAATTATTTTTATTGTTTTGTATTTTAACGATTATTGTGGGGTGTGCTTGTGTGGAAATGCCTGTTGAGTGAAAGCGATGGGACTGGGGGTGCGANGATCTCCTCTAGGACTGGCCGGTTGGATCGCCTTGCAGTCCAAGGGACTCTCAGGAGTCTTCTCCAGCGCCAGAGTTCATAGTTCAAAGATTTAGTGGTAGCTAATAATGTTTTTCTTTTGAAATTGTCCCCACTCATGAACTTCTCAAAATATTTCTCAAGAGCTTATCACATATTCAGGTGATATTTTGGGCCCAGAAAAAGTTGCATTTCAGGCCGGAAATAGTATGTCAAAGTATTTCAGCCTATCCTCCACTTGTTATATTTAAATCAATAACTTGGAGTTATATATGACCTTTCCATCCAAAAATATTTCCTTTCCTTGGTTCTACAGAGAAGTATGAATCTTGATAAAATCTTATCCAAGCTTAGACAGCATACCATGCTGTAGTTGCTACTCTTTGATTTCTTCCTTCTCCAATATCTCTTTTTTCCAATTCTTGTTGGTCTCAAAAGATTCCCAAGTAAACACAGATATCACAGCGTTGATTTTAATGCTATTTCTGATATCATCATGCAGCCTGGGAGATCTTCATACCAGAGGAACCAGATCATACCTTTATTTTAACCTCTTGCTCTGGCTTTCGCTAAATGTCACCAACTAGTAGCATCCTGTTGTCATTTTACGATACATTTCCAGAACCAGAGGCACACATCAAAAGACAGAGGAAAAAGAAATAGAAGAAAACAAAAACAAAAATGAAAACAATCTGCCTACTCAACTCTAAAGAGAGCTCCCTTTTTGCCAGATTTGATTAACAGGTTAACAGAGTTGGAAGGGACCTTGTAGGTCATCTAGTCCAACCCCCCACCCAAGCAGGAGACCCAACACCATTTCTGACAGATGGCAGTCCAATCTCTTCTTGAAAACCTCCAGTGATGAAGCTCCGACAATGTCCGAAGGCAACTTGTGTTCCATGGGTTGATTGTTCTCTCTGTCAGAAAATGTCTCCTTATTTCTAGGTTGAATCTCTCCTTATTCAGTTTCCATCCATTATTCCTTGACTGGCCTTCAAATGTTTTGTAAACAGATTGACTCCTTCCTCTCCATGGAAGTCCCTCAAATAGTGGAACACTGCTATCCCTTTTCCTTCTCTTCACTAGAGACATCGCCTATTTCTACTCCTAACACTTTTCCATCCGTTATTCCTTCTCTGATCTCCAGGTACCTTGGAAAATGGCTTGACCTCTTCTTCTCTGTGGCAGCCCCTCAAATATTGAAGACTGCTATCATGTCTCCCCTGGTCCTTCTCTTCACTAGACTAGCCACGACCAATTCCTGCAACCATTCTTTCTTATGTTTTCGCCTCCGGTCCCCTGATCATCCTAGTTGCTCTTCTCTGTACTCTTTCTAGAGTCTCAACATCTTTTTTATAGTCTGGTGACCAAAACTGGATGCAGTACTTTAGGTGTGGCCTTACCAGAGGTGGGTTCCTACCAGTTCGCAGCTATTCGGTAGAACCGGTTCGTCAAATCTACTGAACCGGTTAGAAGAGGTTCCACCAGTGG